TTCTAATAATATCAACAACGTTCAAATGACATTCAAGCCGCGTTTGTCGAGAACTTCAAGCAACATAGCGTTCAATCCAGAAAAAACTATCAAGTCCTCAAGTCAACGTTAAGCCAAGATCCTTCTTCCAAGAAGATCAAAGAATCAAATCCTTCAAGAAGTCTTCTTCAATCAAGTCAATTCCTAACGTTTAATACGGAAATAAGTCATTCAACCCCAAATTAGTGTAAGAGAAATTCAAAATCAAGCCCGAAAAAGATTCAACTGTCAAATTCATCTTTTAAGATCCCAAACCCAAATCCATGAAGAGAATAATCAGATGAGACATATGAAGATTGTATCCGCAAAATCATTTGATCGAAATAAAATCAAGTTATACAAAAATTTTATGTTTTTCATAAAATTTGTTGTTACAATATGTTCTGAAATACCATATTTTTGTCTGTGTAATTAACTATTTAGAGGTGTTTCATCAGTTAAAAAAATTATATATCTTTTAAAACACAATTTTTTGTACGAGACGGTTTAACCACTCGTGGGTCGTCCTGTTATACATTTTTATAAAATTGCATACCTTAGAGCACCCACAATGTATTGAGTCCAATTTTACATATGTGACATGTAAATGACTTAAGTCTGACATGGACAAACCAAATAAATAAAACACAAAAGATTCTGTGAAAAAAATAAAATACTAGATGTGGAATACTTGTTAACCAAAAAAAATGCTCAAATATGTGTACCATATTGAAAGAATTAAATTAGAAAAAAATGCTGACTATTCAGGTTTGTACTTGAATTCTGAATAGACCCAAGAGTGGACTTAACCTCTTTTTTTTATTGCCACGTAAGATAAACCTGTCCCCTTGTAATTGCATTGGGAGACATATTTTATAGACTAAGTCTATTTTTTACATGTCATATGATATTTTTTATGAGACCTAATGCATTGGGAGTACTCTTATTCTATAAAATTTCATACATTTTATTTATTCGTTGTGTTTTATATTATGACATGTCAGTTTGAAAATACACGTACATATTTATCGAAAAAGTATAATTGTCTAATAATTGGTCTTACTTATTTTAAAAATTATGTCAACCTAATCGACACTACAAAAAGACTCTTATATTCCAACGGAAATTTTCGTTGCAATTTTTTATATTTCCGTTGGAATAGCTATTCCAACGGATATTCCTACGTATAAAAATCCGTTGGAAGAACGGCCATTGGAATAGCAAATATCCAACGAAAAATCCTATATATGGAAATAAATTCCTACAGCTATTCCAACGGAAAAAATCCGTTGAAATTCCTCAAATATCCAACACATATTCCAACATAAAATTAAATTTGTTGGAATATTCATTGGAATTTCCAACAAAAATTTTTACCGTTAGAATTTTTGCCGTTAGAATTTTTCTTCCCTTTGTTTGTTTTTTATTTTTTTCCTTTATATGTCATTGAGAACTAATGTAGAGCCATTGTTGACGGCATTTGAAAAGCCCCATATCGACAAGACAGAGAAAAAAAAGAAGAAAGCTTCAGTTTCAAGATTTTTCAGTGCATGCAAATGGGGTTAATGTGACACACAGGTATGGGCCTAAAATTCTGCCTCGATTTCTTGCCTTTTGACTGTAATTTTGAATTAAAAAAAAAATAAAAAAAAAATATTATATTATATTTTATAATATTGTGACTTAATTATGAATATTGGATGGATATGTACTGGATAACACGTGAACTGCTCTGAACTAAATTTGGCTCCTTTTAGATTACATCTTCAGATAAAGATTCAAGCTTGATGATAACTTCTCACTTCTCTCTTACGTACTGTAGTTAGTTTGAATTGTTTTTTTTTTTTATTTATTTATTACTTAATATTTTTGCATATGCATGAATTATTTGTATCATTGTTAGCAGTGCATATAGTTTGTAAGGATATATGTGATTATATTATGAGAATATTCAGTGTTGTTCTGCATTGTTTGTATAGAAAAAATAAGCATAATTTATATAAGTTTAATGGACTACTTCTCCTTCCACCAATTGATTTTGGGATGAAATTTCACTTGGACTTCATCTGGGCTCTTCCTCTCATGATGCACTTCACATGCGTGTGACCACACCCGTTTTGCTCCCGTTTCTTACATGATATCAGAACTGGTTTTAGTGGGGCCATGCGATGACGTACCCATTTGCCCAGCCATTTTCTAGTAGGGCTTGGGCACCCGACTCCGTATTTGGGCTTAGGCTTTTTTATTAAGGACTCACAAGTGAAGGCGCGTTTTAGAATTCATTTGTGAGTTTTCCCACATCGTTTACATAGAAATGGGCCTAATTTATAAGTTTAATGGACTATTA